ACACAACACGCGCGCACGCACGTTACATAGTGGCAACACAGCCCTTTATTATTCTGCGTTTCGCTATAGATCGGGGATCTCCCTGACGTTCGCCTAAATCTATTATTACGTCGCACGTCGACACCGTTATAAAAATTACAACGTTAAAGCATGCAACAGGTTTACAACGTAGCGTCACGTGCAAGTTCGTCCGCTTTACGGTAGAATCGACGAAAGATCGCCGACAACGACGACGACGACGACGACGACGACGACGACGACGATGGCGTCGTAGAGGCGCCGCGAACCGTTGCCTTTCAACTATTGCGACCCAGGAGGGAATGAGGAAGACAAAGGGGAACGCTCGCTTGTGGATACTCTGGCAGTGTCGAATACTAGATTCGGGAATGCGGCAAAAATTACTGGAATGCGCGACTTTCGATCGTTACAGAAAGAAAAGCCAGTCCCTCTGACGAGGAGACAGTTCCAACGGGATCGCCCACAGGGATCCCGACGGAATCCCTCGAGGACTTTGCCCGACTCCCGGTAGCAGGTAGAGGGAAAATCAGCCGACAATTCCAGCTCCTCCAGGTAACGACGGCGATAACGGCGAGCCTCCGCGGTCTGTTTGCCTCTTCTCTTCCGAAAATTCCCCGCAAATCTTCACTCAGGCAGGAGAGAGACACACGGAGCGGCGGCACCCGCCTGAGGCATTCCGCCGATCGGAACAAACGATCAACCAGGGATGACATCCGCCGCTGGGGAGGAGACCGCGATAACGGCGATAACGACGCGATAACGACAATCGAGCGCGACACGACACGAGCTTCGAGCGAGGAGCTGCGGACTTTTCACTGGAGTTCCGCGCAGATGAGTCGCCAGTGCTCGCTTTTTTCCCCGGAGGCCGCGATTCCGCGAATAATCGGCGCGAGCTTGCCCCGACGAGGCTATCAGGGCGCGGCGTGGCGCGGTGCGCGGCCGGCGACTTCGGTGCCCGGAGACCGCACCGCTATGGACCCTGGACAGGCAGTCGGCACGGTTGGCACCTAAGCGCATAGCTAGTCGACCTGCATCCACGGATATGCAGGATTCCGGCGTCGATGGACCTCATACCACTGGAATGCGCTGAACGAGCTACAGGCTCCATACTCCTTCCTCCCCCTCTCTCCCTCTCTCTCTCTCTCTCTCTCTCTCTCTCTCTCTCTCTCTCTCTCTCCGTCCCGTCCCCTCCCGCGTCAGCGTCCGCCGCGATCAGCCACGGCTCCGGCACGCGCTTCTTCTGCTTCTTCTTCCTTCTGCTCCACCTCTTCTTCTTCCTCTTCGTCTCCTTCTTTCCTCGCTCACCTTGTCTCTTCGTCTTTCTCTCTTTCTCTCTAACTCTCTCTCTCTCTCTGCTCCTCTCTCCCCGCCTCTCACCTGTCCTCCTCCCTCTCCCAGTCTTTTTACCGCTTACCGGTTACCACTCTGGATGTGTTAATGGCTCCGACCGGCCACTTGGGTTACTAGGCGCGAGTCTCGTGTCACTCCGCGGCGGGGATCCTCGGGTTCCTGACCGACCGTTCTCGGGGGCCGACCGGTCGATCGGTCGATCACGAGAAACGCGCGAGACGGGAAGCTCTTGGAGACTGACGGACGGACGGACGAATGTTGGTGCGTACGTGCGGCTCTCCCGCGACGCGTCTGGCTGATTGCCGATAATCGATGCGTCATCGGCGTCGTCGTGATTTTTGCCGAAATCAGGTCGGCCAGCGGCAGTCGGCCGTCGCGCCTTGCGCTTTCCCGATATCGCACGGGTAATTTCAATTCAACGCGGAATCTCGACCCGACGTTTCCGTCCCGTGTCCTCCGCGCGACCCAATCGCACTCAACGCGCTCATGACGTCCGCTCAGCCCATGCCGTCGCGAAGATCATCGGTAGAATTTTAGCAGAAAGGTCGCGCGAGCGCACGCATTTCGACGCCGGCGACTGTAAGCCGGCGCGCGCGCGCGCGAGAGAGAGAGAGAGAGAGAGAGAGAGAGAGAGAAAGACGTCGCCGCTTCTCGAGATTACGGCGGAAAGTGCCTCGACAATAAGGCGCAGTCTCGCCTTATTCCCGAGGTCGCGTCGCACCAGCGCGACCTGTGCTCGCTCCAGGTAATTTCGAAAAACGGCACTCTCCTCCGATTCCGCGGCGTATTCGTCCGCATTCTTCGTACGGGCGACATTCGGAGAAGCGCGCGGCGCTTTCGCGCGCGGCAACCGGAGTTGAATCGGCCGCGGGAAGTGAGGGCTTATCCGCGAGGAATTCCAGAAGAATCGACCGAGAACGGGAAAACGGGAGTCCAGTCACGACGACGCGCGGACTGTCTCGCACTCCGTATAATTGCCGTATCGCCGCGACGGTCCATAAATAGCGATGCGACGAGAGCGGGTCGCGGCGGCAGCGGCCGCGCGGACTTGATTGCTCCTCGATCGCGTCGTAATGGGCGAATAGTAGACGCGAGGCGCGACGCCTCGAGGATCGCGTCTAATCCAGCGGCGGCGACGACGCGATTCATGACGCGTTGTTGCGAAGTCTCTCCCCCTCCCCTGCTCTCGTCTTCTAACGAGCTGATAAAACGGACGCTTCGGAGCACGCGCCCGCGCGCTTTCACGTCTCGTCGATAATTCGTCCCTCGAGGAAACGAAGACGTCGCGGAGTGAGATCCTCGCGCGCGCGCGCGCGCGCTCCTCTCGCCGGATCGTCCGGATCCGCGAAAGACGAGATCGGCTGAACGACGCGCGGATCCGGAGGTCGGTCATGAATCTTCTCCCGCAGGGCGAACTCTCTCGCGCGACTCGGAGGGGCACTTGAAGAGACGCTCCCGACCTCTCACGAAGAGAGGAAAGATTGCTTCGGCTTGGACGTGACAATGAACCAAGTCAACGCGCCTGATTGAAGGGAACGACGTCCCGCCCCCGCCTCTTATGAACTAAACTCGGCTTCTGAGAACGAGAAATGCCGTTCGCCCAACCGGGCTGTCCCCCCCCCCCTTTCTCCGTAGGAGAGAATTCGCGATCGAGGTGCTTCCTGAGCGGCCGGACGAATCTCTCTCTCGGAGATGTCGCGCGACCTCGCTCTACCACTCGCGCCGAGACGCCTCCTCTCTCCGCAGCGCGTTACATCCCGCTTCGCGAGACGCGAGCGCCTCTCCCACGCGCTTAATCACGCACCGTGTGATCAGAATGCGCGCGCTCCTGATGACTCGATGCATGACCGAGACGAGAAACCGACGGCGAAACGTATCGCCGATGATGCGGTAACAGCCGAGGCCTCCCGCCGCCTCCGCCTATGCGACGGCCTTTTCGTATAAGGCAGGAGACCCCGACGTGGTCCTCCCACGTCCGTGCGCGCACGTCTCTCTCTCTCTCTCTCTCTCTCTCTCTCTCTCTCTCAGTGGGACGATTCGCCGGCGATTCCGTCGTCGTCCTCCTGAACTATTTCGTTCCTCTCGACGTGGCGCGCGGCGCGTAGGCGCGCCCGTCGCCGACTCGCGCCGCCTGTCCATCACACATTTCCGAGACGCGTTGCGTTATCGTTGACGTCACCCGTGACGTCATAGTCGTCCAATCAGCTGTGACGATCGAGCGGAGATCGAAGAGGAGGCGACTCGCCGCCACGCAGTAGGGCCAGATGACATTCTTTGCTTCCGAATTCTCTAGAGACCTGAATTCCCAAGCGATCCCAATCGACACCAATGGATGAGGTTGGTCCTGAATAAATTCCGGAGAGATCTGTCTGTCTTGCCGAAATGAAAGGAAAAATTTTCTCCTCGAATTACCAGTACCCAAAAAGGGAAGAATTATCGTTGAACGCGAGAAACTTGTGAGATACTCATTATTCGACACTTGTTTCTATCTAATAGCGTATTCAGCGGATTGAAACGATGAAATCGATCGATAGACACCTCGAGATTCATCGATCCTGAAGCAGGAACCCATTAACCGAAAACTCATACGCCCAAAATACAAGAACATCAAATGTAGACCCGTTAAGCGCAAAACCGAGGGATTTTGAGTCTTAAGCTCATCGACCTAGGAATCTGTCAATCCGAGAACTCTTTAGCTCGTGGATGCACGAAGCCGTATATATTAAGAGCCCCAAAAAGAGCTCCAAGAATCTAATCTAGCCACAGCTAGACCCAAGACACTCTACTTTAAACGATAAACTTTTAAGACAAACCCTAAAAACCCACGAACCCTGAACCGATAATTTTTGCAAAATTTCGGCCAGACAGATCTCTTTGGAATTCACTCAGGATCAACCTCATCCATTGGTGTCGATGATCGCTTGGAAATTCAGGTCTCTAGAGAATTTTCGACCAAAAAATGTCATCTGGCCCTCACTATGCGCCGCCGCGTTCCCGCGGATCCGTGCGAGTTTCCCTCCTCCCGCCTCCTTCCTCTCTCGCTTCCACTCTCACTCTCTCTCTCTTTCTGCCTTTCCTCATCCTTCACTTTTTTTCCCTCTTTACACGCACGATCGGTCAATCGTCCTCCCGTTGTTTATTCGCTCGCACGCCATTATCCGCCCGTCCGTCGGCGTTGAGTAAACGATTTCTTGTACGTCTCCCTCCCTCTTTTTTACGTTTAGAAACAAAACCTTGACCTGTGACCTCCCCGCGACGAGATGTTATTTATAGCGGATGGTCGCCAATTATTAGCCACGTGGAACTTTGGTAAGAAACGCTCGGGTCAAATTCCAAACGCGACGTCACGACTCGCGCGAGTCACGTTGCAAAGATCGCGTGAGCGAGCGTGCACACGCCGAGAGAGATGCGTAGTACTTTCGTTGTTGTTATCATCATCATCATCATCATCGTCATTATATCGACGCGCGACCTGCGTATCTACTACGCAGGCACTCGTGCCTAGCAACAAACGAACAGCCTGTCCTAAACCTCGCGCGTCGCCGAGAGCTCCGCGCGCGAACGAGCGAGCGAGCGAGCGACTCGTGGTTGAACTGGCTGAAACAGGACCCCGGGCCAGGGTGTTCCCTTACCTCGTTGATGTGCTTGTACGTCTTGATGAGGTCGACGCTGAGTTTCCTGAGAGGCGCCGTCGCTGGATCGCGAAACCTGTGGGGTATCCTGGCCTGCATGGCGTGAATGTCCGAGGGGGTCTCCTGCGAAACCCCGCCGGCCGCCCCGCCGCCGGTGGCACCACCCCCGCCGCATACCGCGGGGGGCATGGGTTCCTCGGCCACCAAACGTCCGTAAAGGGGCGCACCGCCGGTCCCCGGCCTCCCGCTCACTGAAAGCATCACAGACAGAGACAACGGATCAATGCATGAACGGAGAGAGCACTCCTCGGCTGGGAGGAAAGGGGGGCGCAACAGGGCTCCCGAGAGTTCCTCGTGTGCTGGATGTGCGAGTAGCCGGCGGAGAGAGAGAGAGAGAGAGAGATGTCGCGTCACGTCGTTGCTAACTCTCTCTCTCTTTCTCTCCCTCTCTCTCTCTCTCTCTCTCTCTCTCTCTCTCTCTCCGGCCAATTAGATTCATCTTCTTACGCGCGACCTTTGACCGCGCGCGCTGCGGCGTGGGGGGAGGGGGAAGGGCTGTTATCCGGACGCGTGGCATATCAAGGTCCAGAAGTAAATATAGTCGTTATATATAATCGCCATACGCCGCGCTCTCTCTCTCTCTCTCTCTCTCTCTTTTCTCCCGTCCAGTATTGCTTTTTCACAAATCTGCGCGTAATTACCGAGAGTGAGAAATTTAACGACTAGCCGCGCCGTGCGAGAAATGGATCAATGCGTGCGGCCTCCCTGCAAGTTTAGTCGACGATCAATATTTGTGTTTGCCGCTCGATGTGTTGACGTTTATCTGTTAAGTTTATCGTCGGGTAATTAGAGTCGCTTATTAATTGGGGGACGAGTCGGGGCGACCGAGTCGAGCTATTTCGATCGACGGCGCGGAATGTAAGATTCGCCGCGCTAATGCGGCCCTCGCGTGGAGATTCGAGCACGGAGGACGAGAGCGCGTTCTTCGGCCTCGGAACGATGTTTCTTTCTCGCCGGGAACGGACGTTTACTGTCCAAACATTTCCAAACTTGGCCTCTTTATCGCCCACCTGAGTCAGACAGAGAGGCGCGACGCGTGCTGCGTGCGCTAATTAGTATCAGGAAAATTTCGCGACCGCGAATGAACAGGCGATTAAAAGCGCCGCGGTGGGATCGGTTTTGTCGAAATTACCGGCGATTAATCCGCTATTAATACCGTGGATACATTAAACGCCAGCGCTCCTGAACCTCCTTCTTCATCTGCCCACTGCAGGAAGCGGGAAAAGAGAGAAAGAGCAAAAGGCCCTGCCTCCGCGCGAGTAGAGAGAGAGAGAGAGAGAGAGAGAGAGAACACGGAAAGTGATTATCGATCGGAAGACACATCGGCGAAATTCAGTCTCGCGTTAAACGTCCGTCTAATCATCCCCCCGTTTTCGACAACGCTATGTATTTTAACGGCGTCTTCGAGACGCGTTCTCCCCGTTTCTGCCGCGTAAGGCTGACAAGCACGGCACCGCTCGATTTTCGCCGTCGACAGAAAGAGAGAGAGAGAGAGAGAGAGAGAGAGAGAGAGAGAGAGAGAGAGAGAGAGAGAGAGAGAGAGAGGGAGAAGGAGGGGGAGGGAGGGAAGGAGAGAGGGGGGCCAAGGAGGAAGGAGGAGAAAGAGTCTCGATTGGCACTGTTCCGCGAGGTTCGTGTGTACACCCTTCCGCGAGTAATAGGGGAGGATTGCGACGATCAAAGGAGGGTTGCGATGATTGCTACGTATAAAACGCGGAAAAGGGCAGACGGTGATTGCGGCGACTCCTTCCGTGGAAAGTGGCAGTCCGACGAATCGACGACGAGGCCGGCGGGAAATTGCGATACGTTCGGGGAAACATGCGTGTTAAAACTCGCGTCGATTGTTTCCATAACAATCCTTGCGAAGAGAGAGAGAGAGAGGGGGGGGGAGAGAGAGAGAGAGAGAGACGTTGCTGGTTCGCGCGGGATGGCTCGGCCGCGTCGCTTTTCCCCGTAGCGCTTCTCTTCGCTCGAGGAAGGTGAACAAAGTTTCCGCGTTAACCGATTTGTTCCCGGAAATGTCGTCACTCGCGAAAGCACTCGCTCCCCCCTCCCGCCCGCCCGCCGACATCAAAGAGACTCCGTTCTCGGCGCCGCGGGAAAAGATTGATCAAGCAGCCGGAGATCGGAATTCTATCACGTTCCCGTCGTAATTATTCACCGGCCGGCCGATCCGCGGAAATGATACGTACGGAAGAGCCTGTGCGGAGACGGGGGGAGGGGAGGGGGAGAAAAGTACACGCGACGAGCAGGCTGGCGCGTGGCACGCGGCAGGAGCAATTTCCAAATACTCCGTCCTCCAGAGCACCTCGAGTATATTTTCATCGGTCGTCGAGGCGAGAGAGCTCTCCTCAAGACGCCTCTCGGTCGCCTCTTCATGGCGCGAGGACGAAGGCTCACACCTTCCCCTCCTCACCCCCGCCGACGGGGATGAGAACAAAAGCGCGCGGACGCGCGAAGGCGTCGATAATTAATAATTTCGTTCGCGGGCCTTATCGATATGCCGCACGTGGTTTTTCGCCCGACGAGACGGCGGCAGCCCACGCGCGAGACCGAGAATCTCTCGCGGAAGTCGGACAAAGAGCGAAGGGGAAGGGGGGGGAGAGAGAGAGAGAGAGAGAGAGAGAGAGAGAGAGCATCCGAATGTATGTGTGTTTGTATGTGTGTGCGGAAGTGTCGATAATTAACAACTCCCTCGAAGGGATGGAGCGTGCTCCGCGCGCGCCGGAGAATCGTGGCGCGGGGCGGAGGTGGTCGTTAATTTTGACATATGACTCTCTCACTCTCTTCCTCTTTCCGTCCGCATCTTCGTCTCCTCGTTCGTGCTGCTTTGGCACTCGCTGAAACATTACTGTCATTTTAACGACCCTGTTAGGTGGTGCAAACCAGCTCAACGGCGACCGCTTGATGCTACGCGAAACAACTCCCGTTTCCTCCTCCTCCTCCTCCTCCTCCTCCCGCCCCTCCCGCTCATCCTTCCACGGAGCTTCTAGCGCAACTGCCGCACGATCAGTAGCGAATTTCCTCGCCCGGCGAAATTCTCTCTCTCGGCGGCCTCGGACGTTCGTCCGATCTTGCGATTCGTCAAGCAATTGTCGAGTTTTCGAGTGCGCGTTCGGCGACGGACTCGCGTCGATGCGTGCGGCACGTTTACGGTGCGCGGCGGCTCGGTTCATTAAGTAAGAGCAATCGCGCAATCGCCGCTCCCGAGGCACATCGCGCTTCATTTGTCGCGTTTAGTTAATGAGATGACGCGAGAGGAGTGCATGACTGGTTCGCACGAATAAATGCGTGATGGATCGGGCATGTGACCGAGACAACGAATGAATGGCCGGGTACGAACGAACGAACGAACGAACGAACGAACGGACGAGCGAACGAACGAATGAATGAATAAGCAACGGTGGGAATGAGCGGAGCTTATTGCTTTCCACATTCGCGATACGTTATTGGATATTTTCGCGCGAGTTTATCCGTATCTAAGCAAATGACCGGGAAAGAGATACGCGAGCGGGCAGAACAAAGAGCAAGGCGACGACGACGGAGGAAGGGAGGGCGAGCGAGCGAGCGAACGAGCGAGCGAGCGAGAGAGAGAGAGAGAGAGAGAGGGAGAAAGGGAGAGAGGGAGAGAGAGAGGGAGAAAGGGAGAGAGGGGGGGGAGAGAGAGAGAGAGAAGGGGTTTCTCCTCCCGATGGGGAACGAGAGAAAGAGAGAGAGAGAGAAAGAGAGACACGGAAACGACGGTTACAACAGGGGTAACGAGAAAATCACGACTAGGTCGGGTCAAATTTGCGGCCTGTCTATCCCCTTTGACCCGTTCCCTCCCTCCAGAGAGCTTCCCTCGCTTCGGCCCCCTTCCCCACCTCCTGCTCCTCCTCCTCCTCCTCCTCCTCCCCCTCGCCCACCCACTCCGGCCCGTACTCATTCCACCCTCCCGTTTTTTACGAGCCACTGCGTATCGGAAAGCGGAGCTGCTACTCTCCCGCGTCCCGACTCGCCGTAGCTCCGTTTGAAATGTAGGCCAGGGCGCGGTTGAATGAAAAAAATATCATTCATTAACACGCGCGCGGGCCAGCGGTTCTCCGCGTCGGCACACTCGGCTTGCGAGCGAGCGAGCGAGCGAGCGCGGATTCGCGTGCACATGCATCGGCGGCGAAGGCGGAGGCGGCGGTGGCGGTGGCGGTGGCGGCGGCGACGACGGCGGCGGCGGTGGCGGAGGTGGTGGAGGCGGTGAGAGGGCGACCCAGTGACGCATCGCAGCGAGACGCCTCATTTGCGTGTCTGCGTCTCGCGCGGTGCGGCCAAGAGCCCGCCCGAGCCGGCCGGGAATCGATTGACTGCGCGGCTCTCTTGCTCTCCCTCTCTCCCTCTCGCAAGAAGAGAGAGAGAGAGAGAGAGAGAGAGAGAGAGAGGGGGAAGTGGTCGTATGGTCGACGAAAAGCCTCTCCTTGACTGCACGCACATGCAGCACAGGGCGATATCAAATTTCGAAATAAAGAGCTACGCTCGCCGTACGGCCGCGAGAGAAGGCTGTTGCTTCGATTATTTTTATAACGAGTCGCGCCGCCACCAGTGCGAAGAAGAGGCACGTGGCACGACGGCGAGCGTGTCTTAAACGACTGTACGGAGGATAATGAGAGAGAGAGAGAGAGAGAGAGAGAGAGGAGAGGGGGCAGAGAGGAAGGGTGAAAACAGGTACGAGAAATAATCGCCGGTGCGCGCGGCCGTCGTCGTCTGTCGCGTAATCGCCAGCTGGCCGATTATTAAGTCCGATAATCAGCGCGGCGAGTGCCACTGCGCGAAAGAACGAGCGAGACGCCGCGAGAATGCGCGTCCTTTGGCGCACGGAGGGCGGCGGAGAGGCGAAGACAGAGGAGGAGAGGAGAGCGGAGTGTAGTATCATCGACGAAGATTCTCCGTTCCAAAAATATATCCTGGCTCTCGATCGTGAAAAATTCAAGCGCATATCGATACTGAGGAAGCGACGGGGATGATGAGGGCAGGGGACGGGGGCGGGGGGAGCGGCGAGTTGGTCGCGGGAAGAAGGGGAGGTGGAGGAGGAGGAGGAGGAGGAGGAGGAAGAGGACGGGGGATTATCCTGTCGGTCGATATAGGCGCGCCGCTGGAAACTGGAGCGTTTTACGCGAGCAGCACGCGCGCACCTCGCGCGCACGGATTCTCTTTTTCCCTC